AGTAATAGGGTATTGGGCAGGGGGGAGGGTATATACATATATAATGAGTGAGATGTGCACCGTCTATGAGATGGTCATGATGGGACTCAGACTTGGGGGGGAAATGGGCATTTATTGAAACCTTAAAATCTGTACCCCCATAATATGCCGAAATAAAAAAAAAATCAGTAGCATTTATTACAATCTGACTTATGAAAACATATGAAATACAATCTTTCTCCAAAGTATATCTAAATAAATTGTAATTCCATACAATGTGTTTATTTTATAATATATGAAGTCTCTCATCATAAATATCCACATAACTTGAAGAACATATAATAGTATTTCAAAGGAGTATATGTTCCTATGATATTAATAAAATAAGACTAATTGGTGGCCACATTACACCAAAATATCGGGTAACCAAAGTAAGTATGGGCTCCTGGTTAATGTAGATTTCAATCAAAATTCTGTTGTTGGTGATTTCCATCCATTTTTCCTAGAATTACTAAAATTTTGAATAAAAATCATTAATTCCATGAAATAGTTGGTACATATTTAATTTATATAACAAACATCTTAGAACTATACAGTATGTGTACCTATGTGTACACTCTTGTTGGTGTATAATTCACATGTTGCAGTGGGCATGTAAAATAATCTATTAAAGTGTAACCACATGTGGGGAAAAAAGAAGAATTCGGGAATTGATAGCTTTCCCAGGTAGGAATTTTGCTTACTTAAAAAAAAAAAAAATCAGTAGCATTTATATACCCCAGGAGTGCACAATCTGTAAAAGAAATCAAGAAAACAATCCCATTTATAATACCTACAAAAATTGTAAAATACTTAGGAATGAATTTAGCCAAAGAAAGGTATCTGTGCTCATGGATTTGAAGAATTAATATTGTTAAAATGTCAATACTACCCAAAGCAATCTATAGATTCAATGCAGTCTCTATCAAAATACCAATGATATTATTGGCAGAAATAGAAAAAGCAATTCTAAAATTTACATGGAACCACAACACTCAGTCCTGTGCAAAAAGAACAAAGCTGGAGGCATCATGCTACTTGACTTCAAAATAAACTACGGAACTATAGTAACCAAAACAGCATGGTACTGGCATAAAAACAGAAACATAGACCCAATGGAACACGATAGAGAATTCAAATATCACACATCTGTGGTCAACTCATTTTCAACAAAGGTGCGAAGAACATACATTGAGGAAAGGAAAGTATCTTTATTCAGTGGTGCTGGGGAAACTGGATATCCATATGCAGAAGAAAGAAAATAGACCACTATCTTTCACCATATACAAAAATGAACTCAAGATGGATTAAAGACTTAAATCTAAGACGCAAAACTTTGGCACTACTAGAAGAAAACATTAAGAAAACACTCTAGGACATTGGTCTAAGCAAAGATTTTTTGACCAACACCTCAGAAGCACAGGGAGCAAAATGAAAAAATGGATGAATGGGATTACATCAGACTGAAAAGCTTCTGCATGGCAAAGGAAACAAACTACAGAATGGGAGAAAATATTTGAAAGCTATCCACCTGACAAGGGATTAATAAAGAATATATAAGGAACTTATCAGCAAAAAACAAATCCAAAGAGAAATAACTGAGAATGTTGTAATTCCATTATTATGAAACTACCACTGTGGATTATTAACATTCATTAGTTTACCAAAGGGTCTGTTTTTTTGGTTTATAATGCTCACTTTTTTGACCTTTCCACATTTTCTTCTTTTTCATCACCACCATTAGCAGTTGGTATTCTTTTGGGAGGCCTTTTTTTCCCTAAAAGTAGTAAGGTGTCACATGATAAAAGTGACACAACAAAAGGAAGTGAACAGTAGTCATTTTGAGATGCTGACACTGCTGTGTCATTAGCCAGACACCTTCACCAGGTAGGTGACTCAAGACCATACACAGCCGTCTTGAAAGCACCACTCAAAATCTTGTGTCTGTAAAACTGCACAGAGACCAGTGGAGTGTTTTTTTACTTATTCCATTGCTCTTTAGGGACCAAAGCTCCTAAATGACAGAGAAAACGCCTAGTCATCAGTCTGCTACGTATACTGCAGTCACAAATTGATTGTCAGTTTGCGAAGGGCCCTAGAGAATTCACTTTTGTCATTTACCAGCGTGAGGGTCCAGCCTCCTTTCAGGGGTGATGCTGATGAGAGCTGATGGGACACGCAGCTCCGTGAGTTTTTACCAGAGTCAGTGGGAGATGCAACAGGATTGCACGGACTTTCTAATATTTAGGCTCAGTTTAACCTTTTTATACCTCAATCGTGGTGGCACAAAAACTTCCCTGATCTTTTTGCAAACTAGTTTTCCACTGCTCATTACTGTTTACTTTTTTTGCATGGTTTTTTGTTTGTATTTGTTTGTTTGTTTGTGGGAGTTTGTTGTTGTTGTTGTTCTAGAATACTTGCCATCTTCACCATAGGAGGAACATCAGCCAGGGATCAGCTATGTTCTGCTCAGCCTCTTCCTGTGAGGTCAAGAATATAGACTTTCCGCACTTCCCTCCTCCTTTTATCTGTTTCCACATAAGATCTCGGCAACATTTTTTCTTCCCCTAAATTCCTAGACTTCCCACATTATAGTTTCATTTCTACCAGCTGACCCTGATTATTTACCTCCTCCAGTACAATAAATTTTTTATTCCATCATTAGTAGCCTGAGTGCGTCTCCAGCCCCACGTTTCCACCCCGTGCCCCGTTGTGGTTTATCTGTGCCGAACCACTTGCTCCGCTCCGAGCTCCGCATGTTCACGGCCCCTCTGAGCCTTTGCATGTGCTCTTCCACCCTGCCAGCCTAAGGTGAACTTTCCCCGAGGCTCATCTTGAGTGCTGCTCCAGCCAGGAAGACTTCCCTCACCCCCACTGGCAGCCTCAGGCGGTCCCCTGTGTCCACCCACAGCATCCTTCTTAGGTTATAATTGGCTTTGCACGTATTTGTCTCCTGGAAGAAAGAATCTATCCAGTCTTTGCTTTCCTGTCCTTGTTTTGGTGCTCAAATATGTTGAATGGGGATCTTTAGTTTGCGTTTTAGGACACCGAACACCTTCTGCCTGAGAAGACGTTACTAGTGAGGTGTCATTCTGCTTCAGACTGTGCTCGGTAGGGACTGTTTCTACAATAACAGCTTCCCTCACCCGCCCTCCGCTGTGCACTCCTTGATACAATGCATCCTACTAATCCCTAGAAGTAATTCGGTACAAAGCAGGAGATTTGGCAGGAACTGTCTGTTTTGGAACCTGCCAAGCCAGGAGGGTCTAAGGTGGCTATTAAAGATTTTGCAAATGCCATTTATAGCAGAGAAATAGCAGCAGCATTTATCATGTGCTTTCTTGGCTGTAAAACAGTCTGAGCCAAGCCGAAGCTGATTATGTTGGCCATGCTGCAACAAAGGTAATTTATTCATCATACGCAAAATCTCCTGTTAACTAAAATCAGAATTTTAAGAGCTGACTGAAAGGAGAGCTGATGTATCTATCAGTGCACAGTTTCCCTCTAGACCAAACAGGCAACTCCACAGAAAGTACTTTTTGTTTTCTTTCCTAAACCTAGTTATTGTTGTCTTCTGCAGATGTCTAATAATGAACATTCATAGACCATTAACCTATATTTTTTTCCTTCACCACTCCCTTTCTCTAATAATTCATATTTTGTGTGGCTTGGGGCTTTATATCTGCTTAAAGTCTTCCCAGTTTTCTGGGTGTCTTTAAATAACAATACCTTATAAAGCAGAGGCTCGGCGGAATCCCTTTCCTGGGAGAATTTTGATATCTTGAGAGAATCAAGACCTCTGGAGAGTTTTTTCACATTTCCACATTTCTGATGTATAGTTAGGTCTTTCCAGTGCCTCTTCCCTAAGCCCCAGTGATCACCACTCACCATTCTGGTCCACCCAAAACTCCAGACTGTAGACTTTTTCCGCCTCATTGGTTGTTGGCGACTTACCGTGAATGCCCGGCTGCTGTCTTCACCCCACCGTCCCCCTGGAGCTGAGCAGAATCCAGTGGGCTTTCCACCCCCCACGCCCCCTACACAGTTAAATCCCCTGACAATTTTCCCTCCCCATCACTTTTAAAGGAAATGCTTCAGCGAGGGTTAATTTTGCTTTCTCCATGCCCGTGTCCAGTGTGTGCGTGTGTGATGGTGGTGTGGTCGAAGAGGGAAGTGCTTGTGCTTAGAAATACATACTACAGCTCTCAGTTGTCTTAGCTTGCTGATAGTACAATTCACATCCATGAAGGGCTGAGGAGAGGTGGGTGGGCGGGTGCCAATGAAACACGGCTGTGTTTCAGTGTTGTCTTCCTGTTAGCAATTGCAAATTAAAGGAAATAGACCACTGATTGGTACTCTCCCACTCACTGTTTCCTTTTTTCTCCTCACCCCGTCCTTTCTTCCTACCCTTCTGACTCCACCTACTTTCTCTGGGGACAGTTAGCCTGGTCTTTCTTGGGTATACAGATTCGTATACCTCTCACAGGCTCTAATTTGATCTGCACAGGTGAGGTCCTGGTATTCCAGTAGCTGCGACCCCATTACCTCCCTCCGTCCTCTCCCAAGAAGAAAGCCCGTGTGGGCCCCTCCAGGTGATGGGATGTGCCATCACTGTCACCAGACCCTTAATTATTTTGCTCACTGTGGTAGGCTCAAGTAGTCTTAGTTCTTTTTCACCTCAGAATTTGAAGAGGTGAAGAAATGTAATTTCCTCAGGAAATCTTTGAAGGGAAAGAACTTCTACAGGCTGATAGAGAAATCTTGTTCGGAGCATGGGTGGTACATATGTGGACGCAGAAACCTTTCATTTTCACACACTGACCATAGGTGCGACTGACCACGTATTTAGCCCGGAAGGAATCGTGGTCGCTCAGAGGTCCGTTTTCTCTCTGAATGTCTTGGTCTTGTCCTTAAAAGACGTATGCTCTAGGGATCTGTCGTACGTGTTCTGTCCGTGGCGGCTGACTCTCCTTGTTTCTCAGGGAGGAAGATGAGTACTCGGAGCTACGGTCGGAACTCAGCCAGAGTCAGCACGAGGCCAACGAGGACTCTCGAAGCATGGACCAAGACCAGACCTCCGTCTCCAACCCCGAAAACCAGTCCACCATGGTCACCGCCGACGTGGGTGAGTCCGCCTGCCGTTGCCGCCCAGCAAGAGTTTGGTTTCCGGGTTGTGACAGAAACAGGCAGCCTGGATTAAAATTTGATTAGCCACGGAGTCGTGCGAGTGGGCGAAGGCACGTCCGTTTCAGTCTCTTACGCTCGTCTCTGTTGGTCAAAGTGGAACTGAAGAGCTGAATTAGCTTTCTGGAAATTCTGGAAACAGGGAGAAAAAGAAAATTCTGGAAACAAGGAGGAAATTCTGGAAATAGGTAAAAATCTATTGCAGTGTTCCAAGTTACAGTGATATGGGAACTGTGGTGGTGGAAATGGGAAGGATGGCTGGGGGCAGCGCACTGCAGTGGAAGAACCCAGTAGGTTTTAGCGACTATTTAAGTTGAGTAAGGAGGAGAAATCCAAAATGACTCCAGCATGTTGCTCCTAAGTGACTAAGAGAGTGACTTGTATTCCTTGGTAAGGAAGCTTGGTTGAGAAATGAGTTGGGAAATAGTCATATTATGTTTGAGGTTGTAGAGCAATATCCATGTGGAAATATCCAGTACAGTGTATTTTAAACTGCAGGTCATGACACACTAATGGATCTTAAAATTATATGAAAAATATTTTTTAAATGAAAGCAGGCTAGGTGTGGTGGCCCGTGCCTAGAATACCAACATTTGGGGAAGCAGAGACAGGAGGATTGCTTGAGGCCAGGAGTTTGAGACCAGCCTGGACCACATGGCTAGACCCTGTCTCTACAAAAAATAAAAATTAGCCGGGCATGGTAGCACATGCTTATAGTCCTAGCCACTTGGAAGGCTGAGGCAGGAGGATTGCTTGAGGCCAGGAGTTTAAGGTTATAGTGAGTTATGATCTGATTGGGCCACTGCACTCCATCCTGGGAAACAGAGTGAGACCTCCTCTCTTTAAAAACAAACAAACAAAAATCAGGGAAACAATAGAGTGACAGTATTGTTTCATGAAACTCGTTTATTGCCTGGGTAGGTAGGTAATAAGTTGCCAAATGAAACTTCTGTGGATTGCAGTCACAATATTGCAAAACCACTGGTCTTGCCTTACCTGGATATTTGGGGAGAGGTTGAGGTTAGAAGCTTTGAAGTTGTCTCAGCTAAGGTGATCCCTGTGGTTGAAAGGGTGTGGTGCCCCGAGAGGGAGGAGCACCGTGTCTTGGGAAATGCTCACATGTATGGGAGAGACGGAAGAGAACCAGGAGAAAGCAGAGGTGGGGGGGGGGGTTGGGAAGTAGGTGGGAGCCGATCGTGCAGGGTCTTGGAGACCATGTTAGAGACCATGTTTGGCCTTATCCAAAGATCCGCAAGAAGCTACTGAAGATTTTAATAGTGGGGGAAGAGGATGAGATGATCAGATTTGCATTTTGAATCAATCAGTCTGTGGTGTGGAGAAAGAATCCCTAGAGACCAAGAGTGAGTTGGGCAGCTGGCTAGGAAACCATTGCAAAAGTTTAGGTGGTTTAATCTGTTACAGAATTAGTAAAAAAAAAAAAAAAAATATATATATATATATATATATACACATACATACATACATACATATATAAAGTCTAGGTGGGCAGAATCGTTGCTAGGATTAGAGTGTTGGCAGTTGAGTTGTAGAAAAGATATAAAATTGGTGAGATTTACTGAAGGGTCGGAAACAGAGGGTGGAGGCAGAGTGGTGTGTGTGTCCCGGACGGGTTTGGTTTGCACAGTAGATGGACAGTGGGGCCACTTGCCAATATGGGAGCACAGGAAAAAGGAGCAGGTGGTTTTGCTTTGAGCTTTGTTTTGTTTTGCTTGGGGATGGGAAGGATGGATGGAGATCATGTGTTTTGTTTGTCCGTGAGTTTGCAGTGTCTGGAGATCGCTGGGCGGAGATGCTTCAGAGGCAGTGTGTACTCGGGTAAGGAGCCGAGAGGAGAGGTCTGGGTGCAAGGAACGCGGCTGGGAGAGCTCAGGGTGTTTGCAGACAGGGGCTGAAGCAGTGGGGGAGGCGGGTGTGCAGAGAGTGAGGAGGGGAGAGAGCCCGAGGGGAGGAGCTTGGTGGTTGCTCCTGGCAGGGAGCGCTCCTCAGTTCAGTCTCAGGTTAAATACGACTCTTCAAAAAGCTTTCTCAGGGCCAGGTGCCTGTAATCCTAGCACTCTGGGAGGCAGAGGCGGGAGGATTGCTCAAGGTCAGGAGTTCGAAACCCAGCCTGAGCAAGAAAGAGCAAGACCCCATCTCTACTAAAAATAGAAACTAATTGGCCAACTAAAAAAATAGAAAAAATTAGCTGGGCACAGTGGCACATGCCTGTAGTCCCAGCTACTCGGGAGGCTGAGGCAGGGGGATCGCTTTAGCCCAGGAGTTTGAGGTTGCTGTGAGCTAGGCTGACGCCACAACACTCCAGCCTGGCCGACAGAGTGAGACTCTGTCTCAAAAAAAAAAAGCCTTCTGAGAGCACCGGTTTGTACACATCCCCGTGCGAACTCTGTCACTGCCCATTTCGGTTCTTCCTCCTGTCACACGGCGTTTTCAGTGATGTATTAGTATTTATTTGCTTGCCTGACTCTCCCACCATTCTCCGCTAGGCAGGAGCGTGTTTGTCCCGTCTCCTAGTGTCCTTCCAGGGCCTCCCGCAGGGCCGGCACGCTGCACGTGCTCAAAGACAGTTGCTGGAACGAGTGAGTGAGCGGAGTAGTCAACCAATCCAACCACCTGGCCGAAGACACAGGAAGAAAAGAAAGGCGAGAGGTGTCCCGAAGGCCAGTGGGGCGGAGGAGGCTGTAATAAGCAGGAGGTGGTCAGCAGCTGGGAGGCTGCTAAGGCCAAGTGACACGGACTGAGCTGTGTCAGAGCCATCGGGAGGTCTATACTGACAGCAGCCTAAGCCAGACAGAAACGAATGGGGAGTGAAGACACCTACCTCCCCAGGCTGAAATTGCCTCCCTCAGACTACCTGAACCCAGACACGGGGCTTTATGTTACAACAGACACAACCGCCTTGTGACCAGCCTCTTCCTAAGCCAAGGCCCTGCGTGCTGGGTTCGTACCAGCATCGTAAATCCCTCGCCCCAGCTCCCCCAGGCTTTCCGCACTCTTCCAGCCAGACAGATTCAAGCAGCCAAGAAATTCCTAATCACTGCGAAGGTCAGCCCTACACTGATCCCTTCATTTGTTTCTTTCAAATTGTATTTTATGAAATTACTAAGTGGCCCACGCTCCAACAAAGTTTCATGATTAAATAAGCATGGGGAAAGACAGGGGCAAGCCCACGTCCATGGCGCCTTTCCGGGGGGACTTGCCAGGGCTCCCCCGGACACCAGGCGGTGGCTGCAGCGCGGGCCCCGCTCGGGAGCCCGTGCCCTGGGGCCTCTTTGTGTTCCTGAGTCACCCAGTTCAAATCCCTTCTCTCCGTCCTGTCCCTCATTAAAAATGGGTTAGTTGGGACTGGTCATCTCCCCTGGAGGGGGGTGCCCGCCCCGCCCGCGTGGGCACGTGTTCTCCCATGCACGGGAGCCTTTGTGCACTTGCTGGACACACGCACTGGGTGCCGTGCTCTGTCCTGGGGACGCAGGACGCGGAAGCTGCCGGCAGATGGCCACGCTCCCAGGCTCAAATCCCTCAAGCCTGGAGTGACCGCCACACTCCTTGCCGTGCGCTCCTCTGGGGCCCCACAGCACCTGGGGTGTCCCCCGCTTCCCCCGCTGTCCCTGTGTTTCTTCCAGTCCCGGCCACGCTGGCCGCCTGGCTTGCTGTTCCTCCAGCCAGCTCCCCCTGCCCCCGGGCTCTGCGCTGGCCGCTCCTTCCGCCTGGAACGCCCCTTCCCGACACCCACACAGGCTCCCGCGACATTGCTGCCGCAGAGCCCCGGGACCCCGTCTCCAGTGCTCACGCAGGGGCTCGCTTCCCTTTCCATTTGTTTTCCTGCATGGCACTTAGCACTGCCCGAGCATTCGCTGTGCTTGTGCTTACTTCCATAAGTGTCATCAGGCTCTGTGTGGCTCTCGGGCCAGCATGCAGGCTGCTTAGGGGCGGGGACCTCGGTCACCTGGTTCACCAGCGTAGGCTGCCTGCGTGTAGGAGGCGCTCCGGCACCTGAGTAGCAGTGAGGCCATCCTGGAGCTCACAGTTCCCGGGGGGATGCACAGAGGCCCCCAAGGCAGTCCCCACAGCTGGGCCAGGCCCACGCGGGAGGCCTGCAGGGGCCCCTTGTGGGAACCCCCCCCCCAGGCAGGAGCAGGGGAGAGCACCTCCCGGGAGTCGGCCCTGAGCAGGAGTCGGAGGGCTGAGTGAAAGAGGAGCGTGGGCAGGAGGAGGGTGCTCTGGGCAGAGGCAGGCCTGCCAGGTCCCCGAGGAGGAAGGCAGGCACTCGGGGACAACAAGGACGAGGTCATTCAGGCCACTCACACAGTACAGTCAGTGTGTCCGTTCATCGGAACTGGCCGCCTGCCTCCTCTTATTCCTTTGCCATTTTCCAATTAAATTGCTTCAAAAGGGGAAAAAAGCTCCCATATATAAACACCATTATAGGAAATCATTAAAAAGTTACCCATTTCATTATGGTTGCTATACTCGCAAACCTGCATTAGCAACCCAGAGGTTTTCTTGAGCTGGATTTCCTTCCTTAAGCCGCAGAATTTGCTGCGGTATATTTGCTGATCTCCAAAGATCACAGGAGTAAATTCAGCCTAATCACATACATCATCAAAAAGCACTTTTCTTTTGTCTTCAGGCCCCACCCATCAGAGCCTGGCCGCCTTTCATAAGCTGGTCCAGGAAGCAGGACTCTGTCCTCTGGGCTTGAAGGAGCAAATGAGCAATTTAGAAAGTGCTGTGACTTAACCTAAGCATTCGAATAAAAGAGAAAGGACCCGGCTTCTGTCAGCATCTTAAAATTAATTACACTACCTCTTTTCGAACCTGGTCACAGAATCGTTTAGAAAAATCAAGGTAATTAAATGGACACAGCCAAGGTAAGAATCCATGGCTTAGAATTTTTATGCCCTCAATCTGGCAACAAGTTGG